AATGATAAAAACAGATCCTACGCGTAGTCTCCTCCCAAGTGGCCCATAGAAAATAGAGCAATTGACTGACTGGGTAGGCTCTGCTCCTTCAGGTACCCCTCCCTGAATCCTTTCTCATCTCCAGGATTCAGAGCTGGCGTCACAGCGATTGAGGCCAACCTGAAGGGTAAATAGAGGCCATGGCCCCCCAGGGCATGATCTCAGGGGCGTTGGGGAAGTCTTTGTGGAGGACAGCTGTAGTTGTGCCAGACTAGAGCACCTTCTCACATCTAGTAGCAGAGCTCTGATTTTCCTTGTAAATCACTGCATCCCTATTCTCACGCCATTCTCACAGGTGCACCGCTTGCTTGGGAAATTGACTTCAGGACCAGCTCTGACCAGTGAGGCTCAATTCTGTTCCTTGGTTGAAACTACTTGGGAAAAGAAGTACTCTTCAGTCATCTTCACTCAGTGCGGGAAAATCCTACTAAATATAATCAACACAGATGAAAGTGAAACCAAGAGACAGAGGAAGTTAAGCCCTGGTGATATGATGTGAGATTCCAGACCCTGTCGTCCTTGAGAACTACTTCTTCTTCAGGTTCAATTAGCTTGAAAAGTATGCCCCCTGTTGTCGTTTTTGGGTTTTTGTTTTTCTGTTGTTGTTTTTTGTTGGGTTTTTTTTTTTCGCTTAAATTAATTTGGGTTGGATTTTTATGACTTACAAACTGAGAAGGTAAAAATGAATTTGGACTGAGAAAGTGAAATCGGCCTGGCCAGGCAGCAGGCCAGGATCACGGGCACCAATAAAGCCAGCTCTGCTGAGCAAACAGGAAACGCTCTTCCTCCCGAGCACACTCCACAGCTCTAAGGTGTCATCACAGCCCCCGTCTGGAGTGACCACAGCTATTTGAAATGATAGCAGTAAAAATGAAACTTCCCACTCTACATGCAGGACCTAAGTCACTCTGACACAGAAAAGCAGACTCAATTCACAACTCAAGAACAGAGCTTTAGATTAGAGGCCATATGCCACAGTCCTCTTAATGTCATGGGGCCAGAGGAAGCAGGACCGTGGCTCCACTTTGCAGTCCAGACCCTTGACGCAGACCCAGCTTGCTTCGAGCCTATCAAAATAGCATTGTGCTTAAATTTCGCCTAGGCTTCACCTTTTCACACAACTCGGGAACAACTTGATGTTTTCCTTCGTGTGGTGAGCTGGTTCGTATTTCATCTTCTGTGTGACTGCCGTCATACCTGATTTCTGCGGACCGCAAGTAGTTACTGGTGGTTTTACGTCGACTAGGGTTGGGAAACAAAAGTGTTTTAATTATTATAGCCTTTTTCCTATAATAACTCCACCACTTAAATTGGCTTTATAATTAGACATCTGCTCATTTATTCTCCCCCTTCCCCACCAAAATATCTCAGGGAAAAGTCAAAACTGTGAAGCAGTTGCTTCAAGGTGGGCCATGTAGCCGAACAGCTGAATAGAACGCCTGCAGTAGCATCATTTGGGAGCTTGTTTGAAAGGCAGAGTCTGGGATCCCATCCCTGACTCGCTGAATCGGAATCTGCATTTGATTAAGGTCCTCATAACTGTGGATACAATAAGTTTGAGAAGTGGAGCCCCAGAAAGTCCTGTGCATTTCCACGGGGTCCCCCAAGAAAATGTGAAGGTAGGAAAGGGGAACACAAAGTTAGTGGCCTTTCCCTTATGAAAGCTGTCCTGTAATATCTTATTTTGTGAGTTTTGCTTTTCTGTAAATGTTTCTTTAAAGGAAGAAACATTGGAAAACCCGCTTCCTTAAGCCCAATTAACACTTCATTGAGAATGAGCTTGCCTAATTGCTTGGGAGGAAACAGGTTTAGTGTGGGGTTGTAAGGGGAAGGGAAACTCCCACTAAGGAGAAGCTAGAAACTTGAGCATCAAGTCCCCTCCCCAGTTTTGTCATTTGCCCCTGTTTGGAGATGGCTGCTGGCAATAGATACTCATTCTTTTAGGCCAAACGCTTCTGGGGTCCTAGAATGAGCGTGAATAACAAAAGTAGGAGGGTAGGTCCCTCAGAGGCCTTCTAGGGCAATATCTTGGGAGAAGACAAAGCCAGGAAAAAATATTTGACCAGAAATAAAAACATGGTCCTCAGAGGGGAGGAGTGACTTTGAGAACAGCATGGTGGCTTTCTCTGGAATTAATTTCTATCTCGAGCCCATAGATAAGAAAGGGACAGAGATAGAATGGGGGCAGGGCTGTATCTAAAAGCTGAATGAGCTTTTTGCCCCTGAACTTCGGTAATTATTGCGACACAGGAGCCCTTCTGTCAGAAGGTAACCTGAAGGGAGGAGAAACACTTCCTCACCTACCTTCCCTTGCCCACAGACCACTCACCACTTTCACACACGAGGACTTGACCTGCGTGTGAGGCTGGGCAGGGGATGTGCGGTGCCGCTGGGCCGACAGCTGTGTGCTGGAGCGGGGCACCAAGAGCGGAGACTGGCGTGGCGTCGCAATGAGAAAATAACAGAAGCCAGTGGGCAGAGGCTGTGGGGGCTTTAAGTTAAACACACAGGAGACATCTTCTGGTGACTCAGGAAAAGGTGAAGAAGGGGGCAGTCTTCCAAAAGGGTGTGTGAGCAGAAGTCTTACGTGCAAGCGGGAGGCTGTGGAATTCTAGTTAGTGTATTCATGCAACCCCATTGGTATCTACAAGCAGATGAGGAATGAAAAATTCAACAAGAGATTGTGCTGAGGCTCAAAATGTAAACCCCTCCTCCACCCCTTCTCAGCTCCTTTTAAATAGATGCCTCTGAAGCCAAGTTCCCCTGGGCAAGTATTTTTTACAGACTTTGCGTTGACTTCACAGCTGAGAGAGGGAGTATTTCTCAACTTGGGGGGAATGTTGTGCACTGTACTTCTCCTCAGCTCTCTCAGTGTTGTCAGTATTTCTCCAAGGAGTCCGGGAGGTGGAGGATGCTGACTTGTACTTTTCCGAACCTTCATAATCACCTAACCATGCCCAGCATGTTCACGGTCCTTATCAAGCACGGGCCCACCACTTGAATGGGTCACAAACAGTCACAATTTTATTTCATTGGTTCTGAATCTGTTTCAGAAACTGCCATGCCCTGGGAAAACAGAAATAGCTAAGACATGCCTCCTGCCTTCAAAGCTTAAACCAAAGGTGAATAAACTTGCAGTCAAATAAGAAGATAATTATTGGTTCTAAATGAATATACTCTGTCTTTTCCCCATGTCGAAATAGAAACCAGTCTATAGTCACATTTTTTTGTCCCCAAAATGAAAGAGTACAATTGAACAATGGCTAAGCAGTTGTGTTGAGGCACAAGATTTTTTCTTAATTGTTTCTCAGCAAAACCCCAGGAGTCAAGGTTACACATTCCTGTGGGGAAAAGAGTGTGAGTGGAGAAAAGCATTCTTCCGAGAGCTGCTGCAGGAACTGCCCGCCCTGGCCTTCTCGTCACTCGCCCCTGACTGTCACTTAGGGCGCTAATTCCCTCCTTCCGGAATTTTATGTTGCTCACTTTGTCCAATGGCTCCGGATGGTTCCAGGAACACTTCTATCCATAGGACTGAAGGCTGAATATAGTAGAAAGTGCCTGGTTACATTCAAGTTAACTTCCTGCCACTTATTTCCAGAGCAGCCATCATTACGGCTCATTACTAAGGTCATGCACTGACCCACACAGAGAGCGAGCCGATGATGAAGCCTTCCATCACAGCACAGGAAGCCACAGTGTCACTTTTTACTAAAAAAGAACAACTTTCTCCAATTCCAGATGATATTTTCTTTCCTTTGAGCTGGGACGCATCGCCGTCTGTACCCTGTGTGAAGGAGACACTTCACTTTCTGGGGCCTGCTCTACTTTATGAGGTCAGCCTCCCCTGTCGAGAAAAAGCAGTTTCTTCAGAAGCCCATGGAATGTGGCATCTGAACGTACAGTGTCCTGTACCCAGCCTCCTGTACTCAGTGGCATGGATGCAGCAGGAAGCGAAGAGGGACTGGCTCTGCATAACCCACCTGCTTCCAGTTGTGCTTGCTGTGGAAACGGCTCTTCCCCTCCCTGGCTTTCAGTGTCACTACCTGGGGGTATTACTTTGAAAAGGTCATTGTGAATAAATTGACATTTATTTGTTGGAGGACAAAATGGTGCCACCTCTTAGTTCTAGTGAGAACCTAGCAAAGATATTCTTCATCCATTTGCCTAAAAAAATATTTAAAAAATGTTTTCAGGACTTAGTAGGGAGCCGGCCACATAGCAGGCAAGTGTTTGCTGAATGACTGAATAAACATCTAATGGCTCTGATGAAATGATGGCAATGTTATGTTGAGGACAAAGATATGATTATGTGGAGTATTATTTGCAGATATAGACTGTCTCATAAGTGTACAGATCATTACAGCTTTATAAATAGAAATCCTCTAATACCGTGAACCTACTAGTGTATTTAACGAGCAGAGTTTTTGGGCGACTGATGTCCAAGTTTAACCTCAAAGATAACCTTGGACCATGTCTTTTCTTGATGGATTATCCTTATAATACTATTACAATGCTTAAAGTTCATTTTAAGAATGATTTGAACCCCAACATGTAGGATTTATTTGAAATATAAAGACAACTTCACTTCTGAAGTGTTCTATGCTTTGGGTGTAATCGAAGTTCAGCAAAAGTTGACTCTCTTCCCCCTAAGCTTTTAGCCTGAAAATGGTGTTTTATACTATTGTTACACAATAGTAATATAATAATGCTACATTGTTATTGGCTTTTTTTGTGGTAATACCAGAATCTAAGAAAACCAGACTTCAGAGACACCTGACTTTGATGCGTTGCCTTTATTGGTGGAGAATGTATCCTTTCACGGAGGAAATCCTGATACAATGATTCATATTTTCTAAATGGAATTATATTTCCTGATGTTCTAAGTCATGTCCTGTTTAAGAGATCCACTTTTGTGGATCTTATAATGAAGCATTGATAAACATGAAACAAAAATATAAAGGTAACTGGTACCAGGACTTTATTAGGCATTTCACTGGATACAAAGAAACTTTTTCTTACATTAAGAACATAATCATATTTAAAAAATTCACATTTGCTAAACAGAATTGTCGGCATGTATTTTCTTTACACCACATTTATTAAAGTATCAATGACCAGATCCTAAAAAGAGAAGGCACAGATCTGTCTCCCTCTGGTGAATTTCTGGAGTCTAATGCAGGAAATGTCACCAGCTCTGCAAATTCCCGTCCTTTAGAAATGAAGCAAATCAGCCCAAATGTGTGCAAGCAGGGCCATGAGATGGAAATGTTGTATTATAGGACTGGGATTTTCTTACCACTCATGGGAATTTCAAGAGAAGAGGTAGGTACCAAAAATGTTCTAAAACTCCACCCACATTTAAACCATGTCAAGGATTTGCTGTTGAATATAACAGTATTTGAAAACTCTATTTTAGGAATCCCACCATTGTTCTCTTCTCAGTAAACTGTTGTAGAAACTGGCCTTGGATCTCCCTGTTCTTATTCTGGGGTGTCTTGGGTTTCCAGTTCCTCAGAAAAAGCACTGGTTGTTATAATTTGCTTTGGCAAGTCTCCCTGCCACATGCTAACTTCCGTGTCCGAGTCCCCACCTGCTGCCCAAGCCCTGCCCAATCTCCTGAGAAGGCACCCACAGGGCGTGTCTGTTCCTCAGAATCCTTCCCCTTCTTCTGGCCATCAAGAAAGTGCCTTTCTGCAGCAGATTTTTTTACAACTCCAACGATGACCAGTTCTAAGCTGATAGAAATAATCTGTGGTAAGGTGAGAACGAGGTGAGCAATGGATTAGCTTGTTACCTCTCAAAAAAAAAAAAAAAGAGATTGAATTTTAAAAGAGGACTTGGTACTGAGTTAGAAGGTGATGTCACTTTCCAGAGACATTTTTCCTGGGTGGGCATTTTTAGTTGTCCCGATTACAGGAAAATGTTCCTTAAGGGTATGATGTGGGACAATCTGCACCTCACAACAGGCCAATGAAGGGACATTTTGAATGTGGTGGCATTAATCTTATACAGGTACATGCTTGATTATTCCATCTATATTCGAGTTGGTGCTTCATAAAGCATTTGTGGGACTTGGCATGAATCAACAGTCTCCTTCTTGAAGGGTATTAGGACTATTGAGATTCATGAGGTATCTTAATATGGGGGTATGGGAGGAGGTAGGATTTCACCTCTTTTAGGTAGCCCAGCTGAAAAAGAGAGGCAGGATGGATAGCTTTGCCAGATAACAAAAAAAAAATTACAGGACAAAAAATTACAGTTAAATTTCAATTTCAGATAAGCAATGAATACTTTTTTAGTATGTTTCATGAAATATTTGGGAAATTCTTAAACTAAAAAAATATGTATTGTTTATCTGAAATTTGAATTTCACTGGGTGTTCTGTATTTTATCTGGAAACCCTAACTATGGGAGGAAAAAAGTAATGAGGATGGAGACAGAGAGGAAATAAGAAGATTAACGTTCCATACCCATATCCCAGGCCCAACGAAGATCACAGAGTTTTTGCTTTGAGCATGAGAATCTGTGCAGATGCTCAAACTAGTCATGAGTTTTCTATTGCTGGACTACACATAGGCAAATAGCAAAAGCATAAAGGAGTGTTGCACGCTTATTTTTTGGAAAGAAAACCATGTTGGGACCACTTAACATTGATGGGTCCTTAGCGACTCTCAGAGCCAACAGAGTTCATCTTTCTTGAGAAGATCCAATTATTTAAAATCATGCTTTGGAGAAACAATTTTTTTTTTTCATGGAAAACTTATCCTTTTAAGCAAGAATGGGTTTCATGTATGGAAGAACAGCTTTCTAGGTGGACTGGTTCTGTTGGTGATAGAAACAAATGTGAACTTAGTCTCATTGTAGGATGATGAATTTAATAAATTAACTGGCCTTCGCAACTTTTGAGGAGCACGGAGTGCTCTACAAGCTGAACTCTGGTTTGTGGTTGGTGGGAACTCAGATAAGTTCTAAAGTACATTCCTCATATGATTTTTTAAAAGCCATTTTTAACAAAGACATAATTTCTCTTTAAATTTTAATCCCAAATTGCGGCAACAAAAAAATGGCAATGAATTAAGGCTGATCATAATGTGCCCTTTTTCTTTAGGATAAGTTTGATTTTCTTGTAAGATACACTATGCTTGCACGCATACCGCATACAAGCAAATACTTTTGACTCATACAATTATACACTTAGAACTAATACCTAAAAATAGTCTCACACATGAAATAAAAGTTACACAATTATCAACATATCAATCAACACAATTTACAGATTCTACAGAACACTTTATCATTGTCATTGGGGAAACAAACAATCTAGAGTACTATGTAGAACTGCATGTAACACAGGAGCCACCAATAAGTTATGGCAAAAACAGCATTTACACCATTGTGTCACTGAATTCTAGCTGAAAAGACTATAAAGTGCAGTAAAATAAAATACTTTTCAAAACCTTGTTCAGCATATCCTGAGGGGCACTGTGCATAATTTTCTATTAGCAGTTCAAAAGGCGAGCACTCTAGCTATAAAGCTTTCATTGGGATGAGTGAGATTGTGTCATTGGATCCCCAAAACCGTAGAACTGAAAAACTCACGAAAACATGCATTTCCTGAGACTTCCACCTTTCCAGCCTAAAATCCAAACAGGAGAACCTGAACAGGTGACCCTGGCTAAAATAAGTCAGAACCTCAAAGTACTTAAAGCAACTTTAAGATCAGGGTTGGTTGGTTTGTAATTTATATTCAAATCCACATTCCATTTGCCAGCTTACAGTGTAATTGATGATGTAGTTAGACTGTTACTGCTAGGCATTTCTTACTTATCATGGTCTCATTTTTTAATTGGTTTCCTAGTGATTTTCTCTTCTTAAATAATTAAATATTTGAATCATGTTTATGCCTACTCAGATTGGAGATACTGATTTTTAGGAGTTAAAATGGCAACAGAATTCGGTTGTGGGATGCCAGTTTCAACTTGAGTAATGTGTGTGTATTTATTTGCATGTGTGTAGGCACGTAGGTGTATACATGCCAAACACTTTGTGCTGTGCTACATTCACTGTTAGGTGGCACTCCACGAAAACTGATTTTTCCAATATGGCTGAAAGTGAGTATTGAGGTCATCATACAGAATATCCTAAGGCTTTTAAAAGATGCCTTCTTATCTCTGCATTCATATGACTGTGTAGTAATAGGGGAGACATGAATGATAATGGCAGGGGCATTCAGTTTTGGTCCTTCAAAATTACAGACAGGAAAGCAAACCAAAAATGATACCCTTTGTCTATTTTTCCTCATCCCATCCAGTCCTTTGACTTCCTGCTGTAGATTGTTTAAAAGCTGGATTTTGTTTCTGGTTTTTTGTTTTTGTTTTTTGCCTTGCAGAATTTGTGACACGTAGTCTTAAGAAACAAGCAATACAAAAAGTGCAGCAAGATGTGCCTCCTACCATCTCAGGGCCTATTTGTAGCCCTTGACTCCTAGCTTGTCTAGAAGGACAATGCCCAGCTAAGACAAAGAAGCATAGGCTGAGGGTAGGCTCTGATTGCGTATCACTAGCCCTCCCCTACACCTCTTTATCTAAGGCCCACAGCCAGCCCCCTAAGTGTGCTCCAGTGTAGGGCCAATAAGCAGAGGACAGCCAAAGGCACCTTCTCTCTGTTCTCCTTTCAAAGAAATCCCTGCCAGTGAACTCTCTTCCCAGCTGGAAGACCTATGGTTCACTTCCACATGCTTCCTCCTTTAGAAATTAAGGCAAGTCCCTTTCCTCTCAGTGCCTGCTCCATAGGTACTGTGTGTCCACCTGGAAACAATAACATTGGCTTGAAAGTACCTTTTGTCAAGCAAGTTTCTGTGTGCATATCGTCTGTAGCGATAGAAAACTTCCTCAAGTTAAGAAATTGCACAATTAGTCAATCCTTCAGCATGTTTGTTTTTTTTTTCCAGCACCGAAATGACAAATACAATGCTACCTCTAAGCAAACTTTATAAGAAAGCATCTAAGTTCAAGAAAATACAACATAGTTACCTCTATATTTTATTCATTTTCCATGAATATGTTGAAATGCCTGTTTCTTGTTGTATATATAAGTTAAATCCTTGTGTCATTTCAAGTGTGCTTGGCTAAAGATCCTCCTGAGGGATAATGAATAGTCAGAGAGAAAATCTGCCCCAAAAGCGAATTTACAGGACATCCATTTCAATAATCCACAGTACTTTAAAAAAGGATTCATATTCAGTTGCATATACAGAGCAAGTGAAAGGGATAGAAGACAATAAAACTGCAAAGCAGGAAGAAAATTATATTTGCAAATAATTAAGTCCCAAGCTAGACTATCTTCAAGAAAGTATTTGAATATGATCAGTGAATCTACTTTCAAAGATCTTTTCACTCTTTTTTTGTACATTGTTAAGGGTTTCAGTCTTAAAATTAAATTATTTAATATTATCAATGTTTTCACTTGAAAAGAAGAATTTGATTGTATCCATCTATGTCTGTGTGTGTCTGTGTGTGTTTGTATCTCTCTGCCTGCCCAGGAGGGGTTATATAATGACATATTGCGGGGGGTGAAAACATACACACTACTGGAATGTTGGCCGTACCCGTGGCATGTATATGCATGCTACTTGGTCTCCCACACATACTTATACACTTTTCATGAACAATCTATTCAGGAGAAACAGTTTTTCTTCCTTGTAGTTGCTGATAAATACTATTTTCTGATAATGAGCATTTATAATCTTATCAACCCAATTATGTACAATCTTGACCTATATAATCTTGGAATCAACTCCCTTGCTTGGGTCTAAGAGATTTAACCATATGGCTGACATCTAGATTAATTAAAAGCTGAGAGCATGTTTTTATTTCTCCATGGCCCTACTTTACATGATTGTGTTTTCCCAGGAAACTACTGAGGTGTTAATTATTTCTAAACATAAAGATAAAATAATTCATAATTGTAAGAATTTCAGCAAATTTTATAGATTTTTATAAATGCCTCACAATATTCCTGTGAGGCATATAGGCAAAGGTTATTGTGCTCTTTTAAGATTATTTTAGAGTTGTCAAATACCACAGAGAGAGCAAGGAGGAAACAATACTCATAGTTGTGTTATCATTTTTCTTCCTTGTAGATCTGGGCTGTCAAATGTTGGACCACAGGAACTCTTGCCTCTACCTCCTTCTCAACCCCAGGAGAAGGTGGAACCCAGAAGGGCTGAGTCAGGGACAGTTTTCAGTAAGTCTGCTCAGATCACACGTATTTAAGAATCTGCCAAAGATGGTTCATGGATCCTTGACATTTCATGGACATAGTTTGGAAAGTGTGGCTCTGACTCCTTCTGTCACCCTTCCTTTTTCTTCAATGTTAAAAAAAAAAAGCCCTCAAATGAAAGCTTCTTGAAATATGCTCCTCAAAATCTGAAATTTAGATTTATATATTTGGAAATCCCAATTAGATAAGAAAGCTGCATAATCTTTCATTTCTTCTTTCTCTTCTTCCCCTTTTTAAAAAAAATCAAGTGAATTGTTAGAAGAGCTTTTGTAAGAGTTCTTTGCAAAGTTTTCAGATTTTAGCACACTCTTCATTCATAATTTTTCATTTACTGAACATTTGCAGGACAATATTATTAAGAGATTCTTGAATGAAAATAGCAACCATCCCATCCCCCTCCCTCCATTTTCCACTATAGAGTTGGCACAAATAGTTCTTTCACGGAATTGTTTACTCTATATTTATAGCTGCCTTAAATAGAAATACTGTGAAACACTATTATTTTCATATAACACAAAAATCACTGATTACAGCCTTCAATATTACTGATGCAGGGGAAATGACTCACATATTTTCTATGACCAAAGGTGAGCAATGATTGCCCAATTGTAGATGACTACAGAATATTATACCAAGTCCCACACAATGAATAAATTTTAGTGCAACAATGTAATACACATTCTGTTGGGACATCCAATTGTTTTTGAGTCCCATACAGCATCTGATAAAAAGAGCGAGCAAGAGAGGGCGCGAGCAGAAAGGTTCAGTCAGAGGATACAGAGTGCGTAGGAGATCTAGGTTTAAATCAGAAACACAATCAAGTAAACACTCATGAGTTACACTTCACAAAGACTAATTCTGAAAAACAAAATCACTGTTCTTTTTTAAAACCTCTAGCACTAGAAGTAGATTTTGCTCATCAAATGGGAAATGAAATATTTATACTAATGCAGACTATGATGATAATCACTCGAGAAATGGATTTCCCCTCTTCCCACCCACTACCAGCCCTAATTCCCTCCAAGACTCAGTGGAATAGGAAGGTTAGCTTGTTTATAGATAGTATGCCTAACAACATGTCTTCTCTATCTTATTCATGAATGCTCAGAGTGGTACTATCAAGTGTTGGCTTCCCCTTCATCAAAGACGTAGTTGAGCTTTATGACAGTGCTGATGAAATCACCAAGTTCTACAAAATCGGCAGTGACGATATTGATGCCGCTCTCTCCTGGCTTCTGTGTGCGGACCCACTGCATCATGGCAGGAAGAGCTCTGAGAAAGGAAAGAAAAAGAGGCATCACGGAGGGCAAGACACTCACAATCTTGTGCCCACAATCCCCAGGCTTCCCTTTAGTTTTCTACCTTATTAAGATAAATGTCCCAATTATAGAATGGAGAAGCAGGGCCAGATATAGTCACCATATTGGTCTATATTGGCCTCAGCAATTTTAGAGATCTCAGGTGCTGTGAGAGTTGAGAATGAAGCCTCCGTACTAAGAAAACATCCTGGCACTTGTATTTTGGTTTGGCATCATGTGATTGCAAACCCTGCAAAGCGATGCGTTGCTAAGGTCAGAGACGAATACATGCGCTTAGCAAACATTTATTAGAAACCCACTATTTTCAGGAAATGTGCTATATATTGTAAATAGACATAACAGCAAAAATCCCTGCATTTGAGGAGTTGATGATTTGGTGGTAGGCAGGTGGGCAAGAGAAGAAAATATTTATATATTACAATTGGGGCTCATTCTTTTAAATACACCTATTATATATATTTAATCCTCACCTGATGATATGCTTATTGATTTTTATAGAGCAGGGCAGGGAGAAAGAGAAAAACATTGATGTGAGAGAGAAAGATCAATTGGTCGCCTCCTATTTACTCCCTGACTGGGGAGCAAACCCTCAACGTAGGTTTGTGCAGTGACCAGGAATTGAACCTGCAACCTTTTGGTGTATGGGACGATGCCCCAACCAACTAAGCCACTCAGCCAGGATGAGCGCTATTATGTTTTAATCACCATTGAAAGCACTTAGAAAACTTCAATGAACAAAACAGATAAAAATTTCCACCATTATGGAACTTATATTCTAACATGGTGAGACAGACATTTAAAAAAAAAATCATAAGTAAATTATATCATTTGATTGGATGGAATAAGTGCTATTAAAAAAAGAGCAGAAAAGGGATAAGAGTGTGCAGGTGGAGAGGAGTGGTACAAACTGAAAGTTAAAATAGGTTAGTTTGTAGGCCTCATTGATAAGGGGACATTTCTGCAAAGGTTGGAGGAGCCAAGGAAGTTAGTCATGTGGATTACCAGGGAAAGCATTTCAGCTACTACTATAACCCTAAAGGGATCACATGCTTCAGCTTAGAGAAGGGAAAGGGAGAGTAATGGGAGTCGAAGTCAGAAGGATAACGGGGTAAGGAGATAGGGCACTCCAGGGCATTACCAGTGTTTACAGCGAAATGGGTAGTCTTTGGAAGATCATGAGAAGAAGAGTTGTATGATCTGAATTTCGTTGTAGCTGGTTCATTACCAAACAGCAGAGGAGAGAGTCCCCTGGCCCACCTGGGCACTCAGGGAAAGCTTTGCACAAGAATGCTCCCTGAACGTGGCGGGATCAGCAAGGTTTAGTGGAGTAAAGGTAGGAATGCAGGATGGAGAATGATGTAATGAATTTTTAGGCGAAGGAAATACCACTTCTTTATTTGCAGAGGTACGTGTGTCCTCAGGAGTAGAAGATGCAAACACAAAACTACGGGTAATGTTAAGAATCATATACAATACCCTATAACAGCACCTTGAAGTAAAACCTACCATGCATTGGGGCCACAGGAAGGGAGGTTTCCTTGACAAAGGGATAAATAAACTGAGGCCTGAAAGGTGACAGTACAGTAACAAAGAAAGTGCGAGAAGACACATGTGAACATCACATTCGTGGATGGGATGGAAAAGCAAAGACAAAAAGAAGGGGGAAGGGAGAAAAATGATGCAGTTAAGAATCTCAAAGAAGTTATATCACAACATTTAAAGAAGCCTTGAATATGTTGGAGAGATAAGAGAGAACCAGGTGACAGAGGGCTTTCAGAAATCCAGGACAACTGAAAGCTGTTAACCAGGGAAATGGCGTGCTTGAATTTGTAATTGGGAGAGACTCGTTGCCTTCAGTGTGGACAAACGAGTGGGAGAGGGGAAGACTGGTAATCCAGACGAGTCAGTAGTATCTTAAATTTCTGTGGCAGCAATAGATCGATTTGAAAAAAACGTAGGAGAGAAAAATGACAATACTGATTGGCGTGGGGTTGGAAGTAGATGGAGAGGGAGAAAAAGGTGATAAGGATGCCTAGGTTTTTTGCAGTGTTCTGGCAGCTAAATAGCATTCACTAATCTTGGAGAGGTCAGAGTGAAGGCTTTCCAGCGGATGTGCTAGGTTCAGCCTGAGACTTCTTGTCATTTAGCCATTCAAGATGACTTTGAGAAATGTGAGTTGAGATCTCAACTGGTAATTGTCAGGTCTGATATTCAGGACACAGAGCTGGTGGGAAGCCATTACATAGAGCCAGTAGTTAGAGCTATGAGAATGAATACAATTACCTGGGAAGGTTTTGTAGAGGGGAAGAGAAGAGAAAATCTGAAGATCAGCAGTATTTAAAGGATGAGTAGAAAAGTTGATTCAATAAAGAGAAAGGAGGCACAGGAGAGGAGGAAAATCAGGGGCATGGGGTGTCATGAAAATCAAGGTAAAAAGAAACCATGCTCTTTTGGGTCCACGAGGTTAAAGCATGGAGGGCAATTCATGTAACCCATGGGCCTTGCTCCAGATCTGAGGAAGTATACCTAGTCTAAGCACACTCAACCCACTCAGGCAAAACTGCGTCAGCTGCCTTGAACTCCACTAATCTTAAGAGTAATACCATAAAAATTATGACCCAGATTTTTCAGCATATACATTTTTGTTAGACACAGATAGAGGAGGATCCAGTTGCTTCTAAAAGAGCATAGAATGTATCTAAAGTGCCCAATGCCTTCAGAAAATAAACTGGCAGGTGGAGAAATGGGGTCCCTCGTGGCAAGAGTTTCAGAAGAGAATTCTAGGTGAAGATGAAAAATCTGGATCCCTAGCGCTGACACAAGCATATTCAAGTTCATTAGAAAGACAGATGTTGTGGCAATGTGTGCACAGCCACTCAGAGTTGAATTCCATTACTTTCTCTTCTGGACTTGCTAGAGCAGATGACGAATTGCTGTTGTACATGTGGCATCGCCAGGCATTTTAGGAAAGACAGACAGTCTTTGGAGAAAGTATCAGGACCAGTGCATTTCCTAGGTAGAATGGTTGTTCAACAGATGTACTCGGCTTGGGAGGTGAGAGTGAGGGGTGGGCAAGCATGAGGCTGCTTGTATTAACCTTAATTAAGTGTCTGGTTCACCAAGTCCCTAGGCACTCGGGCACCTGGTCATGGAAGGTTCCAGAGCAACCAAACTCCCACCTGCGAACCATGATCACCACAGAAGCACCTCCTCAGATGCCCTCCACTACTCTAAGGCTAGAATTTCTGGGCCTGAATTGAGGACAATAAATTATTTCCATGGAGAGATATTAGAAGAACACAAGAGCACTCTTCTGCGTTTCCCTATAAAATTGATTGCTTTGAGAATGGGTGAAACATCCTCTTGGAATAGCTTATAGTCCTCATATAAAATATAAAGCTTTACATTTACAATACCATGTCTGTGAGTAATGGGAGTATTTCTACCTTTCCGTTCAGATGTATTTTCCTAAAGTCAATACAACACCAAAGACAAAACAACCAATAATGCCAAATTGAACCTCAAGTATTCAGACAGTCTGAAGTAAAATCGTGCTAAACAAAAAGACCCAATGTACTGGATTAATACTAGCAAATGCAACTCAAGTTACAATAATTATTTAGAAAAGCATTTTTTAAACCTTTTTCATTATTGCCCCCCCATGAAGGCCTTTATTTTTAATTAAATTTATTGGGATGACGCTGGTTATTAATATCATGTAGGTTTCAAATGTACATTTCCATGATATATGATCTGCATATTGCATTGTGTGCCCATCACCCACAGTCAAATTATCTGTCACCATATTATTCGGCCCCTTTCACCTATTACTGCCCTTCTACTCCCCTTCCCCCTGGTAACCACCATTCTGTTGCCCATATCTATGAATTTTTGTCTTGTTTGTTCATTTGTTACTTTCCCACATATGAGTGAAACCATATGGCTCTTAGTTTTTTCTGTCTGACACTTTGCTTAGCATGGTATTCTCAAGGTCCATCCATATTGTCACAAATGGCAGCGTTTCATGTTTTCTTATGACTGAGTAGTATTCCGTAGTATATGAAGTCTGTCCAGCAAAAGTCCAGCCATTGTTAATAAAAGAAGACTGGTTGTGTCACATCGATGTAACCTGGCGGCCAAGGAGAATGGACTGGAATGCGCATGTGTGAACAATGATGACTTCACTGTACTAGTCAGTGGGGGGTGGTAGACACCACTGAGTTTGTGTACTGTGTGGCTACCGCATTCAGAATGACTGAGCAAGTAGAGCAAGGATTCTGCATCAAATTTTACTCCAAGCTTGAACATTCCTCCAAGGAAACTATTCAGATGATTCAGAAGGCCACAGGCATGGGCAACTGGCAGTTGGCAGCTTCATCGTGACAACGTGCCTGCACATGCATCACATTTCATTCAGAGTTTTTTGGCAAAACATCAAATCACCCAGGTAACTCAGCCCCTTTACAGCCCAGATTTGATGCCCTGAAACTTCAGGCTTTTCCCTAAAATCACCTTTGAAAGGGAAGAGGTTTCAGACCATCAGTGAGATTCAGGAAAATATGACGGGTCAGCTGATGGTGAATGGGAGAACTCTGTGAGGTCCCAAGGTGCCTACTTTGACGTGACTGAGGTGTCACTGTCCTATGTACAATGTTTCTTGTATCTCGCATCTTCTTCAATAAATGTCTCTATTTTTCATAGTGCATGGCTGGATACTTTCTGGACAGATGTCATATACTACCACATAAGTGTTTATGGATACCTTTTAGAAAGACCTTGTATCCATACCACACTCTTCTTTAGCCAATCATCTATTGAAGGACAGCTTTTTATATGTCAATATGACCTCAGGAAAGTGGTTTAAAATAAAAAAGTGAGTATGAAAGAGATGGTGTGATTAGGAAGGACAAGGTGACCAGAGAGTAGGGGCCTTGGAGGTGTGGGGACAGCAGG